GTGCCCACTCGGTGAGCGAGGGAACAAGCAAACGTTAGCAGCAGCGTCTGTGCGCTCATAGCGAGTCAGCGCAGAGGGCAGAATCAGGTACTGGAAGTTCACAGTCCACATGGGGACACGGCCGTGGCAATGAGGACCTCACAGACTTTTGCAGGGTGACGCTACCAGGAATCAGTCAGAGCCCAGCCCATCCAATGACGATGGGCCCCTGATAGGACAGAGGTCAATGAAGGGTGGACAGGAGCATGGAGAAGGGGGGGGGGCACATTTCACACCCAGAGGGTCACCTGCCACCTGCCTCCGTGTCCTCAAAGGTCCCCTCAGCTCCTAGCAGCTTCCTAAGAAAGATGCAGAAACAGGCGCTTCATAGGCAGCCCTCGCCCCAGGCAGGACGACTGGCTGAGGCGCAGTTCCAGTGAGGGGGAAGTAAAGGTCCCATTTGGACCACTGTGCCCCACAATGTCACCCGGTGCCTCCTACCCCCACCGGTGGTCATCAGCTCAGTCCCTTCCTCCCACCAAGAAGCCCACCCCTGGACCACCCGTGGCAGCATCCGGGCTGCAACTGCGGGAGGTTAGAGGGGTGCAAAACGACCTTCACTTTTCTGTACCTAACTTATTTCCATCGGCAATGGCTTGCTGGGGCAAAGCATTGCAAAGGTTTCGGAGGGATCTCCAGGTCCAGCAGAAAAACATAGGTTGATCGACAAGTCTGGGCACAGGAGTGGGGACGGGGGAGGCATGGAAAACTTGGAACATTTACAAAGAAAGATTTTTTTTAAATAACACGTCTAAGTGACTTAGCAGAAACATATTAAAATCTAAAAGCCAATCCTGTGTAAAATTATCTGACATTATGTTGGCAATGGATCTTTAAAAATGAGATCTACTACAAATACCAGGCTGAACAGGCGAACATGACCTGCCTAATCTGCCCAGGGCTCTATTCCTGCCATCCCAACAGAACACGAACTTCCCTGATAGGGCCCCTTCATAGGGAGATGGCAGCCTCTATGTTCTTTCTGCTCCAGTTAAATTTGGAGGGTCATTTCATAACTGAGGCTTCCTAGCAACCCTTGGAGGTCAAATACCAACTCACAAGGGCAGCAGGATGAGTTAGCACAAGTTTTCAGGGAAGCAATTTGGCAGTATGTATCAAGAGTCTCTGCAATAACCCACTGACACCGCTTTTGCAAATTCTCACAGAGATGCGGATAAAGACACGCACACAGAGAGGTTCATCAAGCATTCCTTTCACAGCAAGAAACTGAAAATGACCTAAATGAGGGAAGTGGTAAAAGGTTTTCCTATTGATGGAATATTACACAATGATAAAAAATGTTGTTTACCAAAAGCTATTTTAATGGTGTCAAGAAGTGTTTTAGACATAATACTGAATCAAAATCAGAATGGAAAATTTTATTTAAAGTATGAGCTCAATTAAGAAAAGCAAGAAAGCAAGCTTAAAAAATACTGGAAAGAAAACTGTGGAGATGCTCACAGGGAGTGGGAGAACTGCCGGGGAGTCTTCCGCATCGTTACACCTTTGATTGTCCAGATTTACTACAACGAGTGCAGTATCAGATAAAACTTAATTAAAAATTTATTTTAAAAAGTGAAGAAGCAGGAAGGGTATTTCTACCCTTCAGAAGTGGGAGCCCAAACTATAAAGGAAAAGGAAGGCAGCCCAATTCTTCTTCTCAGTGACAACTCGGCCCCCTGGGGGCCACACAGTCAGGTGTAAGGGAAAGGGGGCTCAGGCCCGAGGGTCACGGGGCACCTGGCCCAGGTCTTCCCAGGGCCTGGGGAGGGAAGCGGTGGTCCAGGAGCAGCAGAGCCGGGAAGGCCATGACAGCTCCTCCCAGGCTCCGTGACACCCCGTGTACAGGCACCCAGCGTGGGCTAGGAGTAGGTCTGGGTTAGCAGGCCAGGCTAGAAGGCTGCTCTGCCCACTCCAGCCCTGGCATCCTGGACCAGTTGAGGCTTGGACCTCAAGCCTCTCTGTGCCCCGATACCACCATCTGTAAAATGGGGCGGTAATAGTTCCTCACTCTCGGGCTGCAGAGGAATCACACATAGTAAGTGCTCATCAACATCAGCTCCACCTCTAGTCAGCAAGGTCGAGGTCACTGGCCGCAGGAGTGGCGGTGACATTGTCCAGCATCACTCATGTCACTTTTTCTCCAAGGTCAGTCTGCCAGGGCATTCATCTGTCCTGGCTGTAGAACCCTGTGCTGAGCTGGTGGCCCCAGAGTCACCTGGGAACCATCTAAAAGCCACAAGTGTCCCAAACCCTACCCCAGAGGCCCCAGTTCCGATCTGAGAGGACCTGGGATCTGCACTGCGACAGCAGTCCCTGCGACCCTAACCGCTGCCTGCCTGCTTCCTCCATCAGCGCTGCTACAACAGAATCCCGGCAGCAGGGCTCGCAACCCGTGGCCACGCAGCCCCAGGGTTCTGGGAGCCGGCCGTGCCTGCCAAGGCACTGGCAGGCTCTGTGTCGGGCAAGGGTTCTCCTGGTTCAGAGACGGCTCCTTCCCGCGTGACGGTGGACGGGGGAGGGCCTCTTTGATGAGGGCACTAATCCCATTCCAGAGGGCTCCACCCTCGTGACCTAACAGCCTCCCAAAGGCCTCCAAACACCATCACGCGGGGGCTAGCACGTTAGCCGACGGATTTGCAGGGGACACAAACACGCAGGCCACAGCGGGCCCCTGGCTGCCAGAGCGCACACTCTTCCTGGAACAGAAGCCCCTCTTAGGGTGAGCATTAAGAACTGTGTTCCAAGTGTCTTTACAGCTCTTTTAGAATTTGTCTAGTGCGTTTTCCAGATTTCACCTGAAGACCTAAAAAAAAAAAAAAAACTGTGTTCCAGTGGGCCAGCAGCCACAGTTTCTGCCGGAAGCGCCCCTCCGCCTCACTGCCCTGGAAGCCTACAGTTAGAGGCAAAGCGAACGCCCTTCTTTCCCGCGTGCAGAGAAGCAAGCCGTCTGCTGCCTGCAGGCCCCGGCGCCGCGCGCTCCATGGCCAGCACAGGGCTGGAGACACCCGCACAGCTGCAGAAGGCCCCTGTGCGGTCCGGGCACCCGTCAATGGGCCTCAGACCTACAGACGGCAGCTGCAACCAGGCTTCTCATGCACGGCAGCCCCAGGACGCACCCCATTCCGGGTGGCCCCTCCTTCAGCCAGCGCCCCCACGACATTCCCACATGCTCACAGAACAAGTTCCACTGATCCCACAGCACGGAACACATGCAGGGCACAACACTTTGCTCAGTTGTCATTGTCTGCACAGCTCAGCTAAACCCAGCCTCTGCCATTCCGTCAAGGTTAGAAGGTTAGAGTTCTATCTGGAGGTTTGAAAAGCCATAGATCCAGGAGATTTTAAATCATGTAAACCCTCTGTACTCAGAGGATCATGCAACGGTGACGTAGCACCACACACTGTGTGTGTGCAGAGTGCCTGACTCAGACGAGGACGGCACGGCACCTGTCCTCCCAGGCCCAGGCCAGCGGGGAGGTGGGCCCGCCTAAAGAACGCTCCTGCCATGTACAGGGCTGGGCAGAAGCAAGTGTGAGAGTGCTGGGTGCACAAAGGCGAGAGGGCTTCTCTTCACCTGCAAGGCCTGAGAGGCCGCAGGAGGAGGTGCTCCCTGGACCGAGTCCCAGACTGAGTAGCAAGGGAGGTAGGGACAGGAGGAAAAGTCAGGCAGTCAGGAATGAAGGCCGCCCTGCGCAGAGGCATGGAGGTGAGAGGGGATGAGAAAGCAGGAGTTTACGGGCTGAGCTGCAACACCTGGTCCCCCCACCCCCCAGCTGCAGGAATGCAGCTCCTTGGGGACCAAGACCACCGCCCTTCCCCGCGTGGCCACGTTGGACAACCAATGGACACAGTGGCTTAAAAACTGGCTCCACACTCCAACTCCAGGGTGCTCTGACAGCCCCTTGGCTTCAGAGCCCTCCGCGAGGCTCTTTGCCCAGCCCTCGCCCCCTCCCTGCCCAGGTGGCCATCCCAGCACCTCCTAAGCTAATCTGTATCTCACAGTAGGCTTCCTGGGAACCCAACCTGCAGCAAATTCCAAGTCGCTTGGCAGCACCTGGCAAACATTTTTAAACAGCGCTGAGCAAAAGAGCATGCTCAGTCTTGAGGCTTCTGGAATAAATGCAGGGATTAATGAGCAGTGACTGATCTTAGGCTAAGAATGAAGCCTTCGACACTGTTTGGTACGCCATTTCCTGATGTCCCTTATCTCTCCCTCCCCCCAGGGAAGACACTCATCGTTGGGTTTCAAGCCACAGAGAACGTATGAAGCCAGCCCCTTACTGAGGGAAAACTCGGAGATCTGCCCCAGACAGCCGGGGCCCATAGAGATGAGGTTACCTGTCCCAGGTCACACGCATAGGAGGAGCCACACGTCCAACCGGTCTGTCTGAGTTCCGACTTGCACTCTTCCCACTCTGCTGTCCCCACACTGGATGCGTTTTCAAAACGACAAGGTCCTGTGGCAGGCTGAACAGTGTACCCCTCTCCCCAAGATGCCCAAATCCTGCTCCCCAGGACCTGAGAGTGTTACCTTCCCATGACTCCTTGGCAGGAGACGTTGCAGATGTGCTCCCGAGATAGGAGCATTACCTGGGTCACCCAGGTGAGCCCTAGGTGTAACCTAGGGTCCCTGTAAAGAGGCTGGAGAACCCAGCGTGCAGGGAGAGCTGTGAGGATGAAAGCAGAGCCTGGGACGGTGAGGTCAGGAGCCAGGAACTTCTAGAAGCTGGAAGAGGTGGAATATCCCTGCAGTCACCCAGCATGGAGACGCTGTATTCCTGTGGGCAGGATCTGAACACCCTGTGCAGTGTGGGAGCCCACAGCGGGCTCCCTGCACGTGGTTCTGGCAGGAGTGGGAGCATGTGCTCCACACTGGCAGAGCCTCCCCCAAGGACAAGCCATGGCCACAGGGAGCAGACGCGGCTTAGGAGAGCGTGCGGGTGGTGGAGGGGTGGACACAGAAACGGGACACCAACGAGACCAGGGACACGTGGACAACGAGAATCGGGCAGGCCAGAGCGAGGCTGTCCTTGGGCACGGGGACAGCCCCGTGCTGCTCTGTGCCGCAGGCAGAGGGCACCGGGGAGGGTGGAGGGAGGTCCGGCTCAGTGAAGCGGGCAGGAGCCCCCACACTTCCTGAGTGGCTGCCCCAGGAGGCGTCTGCCTGCCTGGATTTAAGACCTAAAAGTTAAAACATCAGTGTGCAAGTACAGGTGAGTGAGGGTGGCCAGGCACTGGGAGGCTTGGGGTTATCTTGGTTTCTGTTTTTACCAATATGTTTTTGGCACCAAAACATAAATGCGTATGTTGGAGCTTTGAGTATTTCATGTGCGCTGCAGTGTGGTCTAGGTGACAGTAGCCGGGGAAGCTCGAGTGACGCTCCTGGCCGGGGATGACCCTGGGGTGGCAGGTGGGCTGAATCCAGGCTGGCTTTGTCCGGAGGGCTGCCTTCTCTCTGCCCCATCTCTGCTGGAACCAAAGGGCGGGCCGGGGTAAGAATGGTAAATTTTGCAAGAAATTGCAAGATTTCTGCCCTTCTCCCAATAAGAGCCTTTCTAACAATGGGCTGAGTCTTTTGGGGAGGGAGGAGGCTGGGCCCTGACCTAGACCCTGACATCTAGAGGCACAGGGTGCCCCACCACCCCCGAGGGAGGCGCTCTTATTGCCTCAGCGTTTGAGTCGGGAAAGCCGAGGTGGCCACGGAGCAGCCACCCTGGCCCCGGGTGTGTCTGTCTGAGACCGGCACGAGGAGGCTTCTCGCCAGCTCCCCACCCAGGGGCTTGCAGGCCCCCTTCAAGGCCTCCTGGAAGAGATTGTGTCACAAGCACAGAGAAGCAGTTGCTGGCAGCATGCGCCCAGTGCCTGGGGAACATGAGGCCCGAGCACTCGCTCTGGAGCGGGGCCACACGCTTCACCCCAGAACTGGAGCCCCTCCTGGAAGAAGACACAGGTAGGTGCCGGGGTGGGCAGTGGGGGCTGGAGAGCCATCCATGCCGTGCTCCCAAGGGGAGCTAGGGGAGGCCTGGGGTGCCCCCGTCCTGAGAGCAAGCACAGCCAAGCCTGCATTTGACACCTGTGGAAACTGAGGCTGGGAGAGAGGAAGGTCCACAGTTGGCCAGCAATGAGTGGGATGCGGAACCTGTGCCACTGGCCCAGGAACAAGATGATGAAAGCTGGGGTGCTGGGAAGGAAACCACAAGTGACCGGTCCCAGGCGGCCCAAGGACAGTCTTCCTGGCAGCCACGCACAGGCGCTGTGCCCCCCGCACAGTGCAGGCAGGAGTAGCCTGCGGGCTACTCAGGACGCTGCCCACAGTCCAGGAAGAGGAAGGGGGGCTTTCCTTCCTGAACCCTAGAAAAACTGATAACAGTTTTGCCTTTAACAGACATTAAAGGCAAAATAACTTCCTCTGAGAAGAAATGGTATTTTTAAGAGACACAAAGGAACAAGGACAGGCAGGCTGCTCCGCAGGGCATGGGCGTGACAAGGGTGCAAAGCGCTCCAGGAAGGATGCGGCTCCGGCTTCTCTGCTCCTCCAGTGCCGGCAAAGGGCTCCTGTGTGCCCACACTGGGCTGGGCTCAAGTTGAACGTCCCCCAGCCCAGCAGCCACACTGGATGGGCCAGCTGCAGGCTCGGGCTGGAAGAAAGTCTGCCACAGCATCCCCAGACCCTGTGCTCTAGGCCACTTGTTTCTGTGCAGTCCCTGGGTCCCAAATGGGGGTGCTGAGTCAGGCGGCCTGGGGTAGGTCTGCAGGGTCTGCACTGTGACCAATGCAGGTGTCTGGGGCCAGGGACCTCCCATCTGCACCCAATGCCTCTGCGAGAATGTCACACCCTCCCTAAGTAACCCCGGGACAGGAGATCTCCACCCTCGGGCCACAGCTGCACGCCCAGCTCTGGCAAGCCCCACGGATGGTGGGGAGCTCATGCCTGCCCTTCCACGTGCGAGCCCACGGAGAGGGCTGGGACTCCTGGTCCATACTGTACCCCAGCAACTAGAAGAAAGAAAAGTAACTAACAAATTCTCAGCAAATGGGGTGCTCCCTCCGCTTGCCCTGGGAAGCCAGGTCCCCGGGTATGGTGACCCAGAATTTGCCCCGCCATCACTCTGAGCAGGAAGGATAACAAGGGCTAGAGTCCTGCTGGAGGTCCTGCGCCCAGGTCTGAGGCCACCTTCTCCCCCTGGGGCCTCAGGCCCAGGCAGTGGACATCGCACTTCATTCAAGAGGTCCCTGGAGACCCAAGAACATCCTATTAATGGACACAGAGGCAGGGAAGGGCCTCAGGCACCAGGGAAAATGTCTCTAACAAGGAAAAGCCTGCAACAGTTTGGGGCACTCCAGCTTAATCAGGAAATCCAGTACCTTAAATGACCCTTTCCCTCCATCCTGGCCCAGCTCTGCTTATTCGAGACGTGACGTTCTTAATTTCCTTCCAGTTTGCCAGCCTTTGAGAGCCTGACCCTGGACTGCTGCCTGGCAACAGCCAAGACAAGCCCGTCCTTGGCCCAGCCCAGCTGGGATCCAACCTGGGAGGACCCTTTGCCCCCCCCACCCCGCGCCCCCACTCCTGCCTGCTCCACCCCGGGTCCTCCCTCCCTCGCAAGGCTGGGAGCCCATGCTTCCCTGCTGGCTCTGGCCCTTCCCGGCACCGTTTCCACAGCTGCCTGCAGAAGGCACCCACAGTGACAGCGGGCATGAGCCCAGCCGCCCCTTCAGCTCCACCCCGAAGCGGCACAGGCATCAGACGCCGCCACTGCATGCCTCAACTATTTGGCTGCTGCTGTGATGTGAGCAGAGAAAAGGACAGCTTCTCTGATTGAGAATCAGACCCAAGAGAACACTTGGGGACATGCTCAAAAGCACAGCAGAGGAGCCTACGTCCCTCACAGTGGCCACGCCTCCAGAGGCCCAGACGCAAGGGCACCCACCACACCACCCTGCAGAACTGGCGTCAAAGAGGTCCCAAAGACCCCAGCATGTTGGAGCTCGGTGCAGCCTGCGTCATTCTCCGGAGACAGAGGCCCAGGTCTGCCTCGAGCGCCCTTCAGGTCAGCTCCAGGAGTCAGCCCCACGTGACCACACTCACCAGCAAAGTGGGGCAGCTCAGACCAGACAGTGGCCACTGCCGCCCTGCCCTCCGGAGGTGGAGGTCCAACGTGCTGCCATGGGTGCCCACGACGGGGCCACCAGCGCAGGACCCAAACGTCCTGTGCCCTGCCCCCCACTAGCTGTGACCTTGGAGCTCCCAGGCCTGGGGCTTCCTGTGTGTGGAGCTACTTCCCTGTGGAGAAGAGGGACTGCCTGGCTGCCCTGCGCCCACGGCAAGGAAAACAAAGTCCCCCAGGAAAGAAACAGGAGCGAAAAGCCCCCTTTGCGCAAGCTGGAATGAGCTCAGCTCTGTCCCCACCGTCAGTGGGTCCTGTATAAATCTGTTTTCCCCAATTTAACGACGATCCAGCTTTGCTGATCTTTGACACTACCTCGTCCCATCAAAGGATCCTTCCACACCCGAAAGAAGGGTGGCGTGAGGAGCTCCAGAGGCAGGCCTGAGCCAGGGCGACGCCGAACCTTTCCTGGCGTGGCCGTGTGCTGGGCATTTCTGTGCGCGCGGATATGAGAGTGTCCGTGTCCCCCACCCACTAAGAGGAAGGTCTGGGAACGCAGACCTTGTCCTTCTGACCCCGAAATGCCAAAGTTTTCTGCCAGGACCAGTGCGACGTGCAGGAAGGTGCGCATGCCAGGCGTGGTCATCTAAGGACTGAAGCACGTGGACAAGGCCGGGCGGGCTCCGCGGCGGAGGCTGTGAGGACAGAGCTCTGTGGCTTTTGAACAGTAGTACGGAGGCTGTCCCTGGGGGGACGAGGACGAGGACGAGGACGAGGACGAGGAGGAGGCAGGAAGAGGAGCCGGAGGGGAGTGCCTGTCTCTTGCCCTCTTCCTTCCTCAGCTTCTCCACGAACATTCCCAAAAGGAAGCCAGGGTGAGGGGGGCCTGGAAACGGATTTCCACCCTTACTTCGGGAAGCACCGCCTCTCTGAGCAGACGGCGCGGTGCTGAGCTCTGTCCGCAGGGTTCGCCTGTGAATTTGTGAGCCGCTGCAGAAACGCTGACGGTGCAGTTCCGGCCGCCCTAGCAGGCAGCGCGCACCCTCCTTAGCCCGGCTCCCTGCAGGCAGGCGACAGGGCCCGGGGAGGACTGCGGGGCACAGACACCGGAGAGGCGCCAGCGGGGGCCCCACAGAGCCCAGGCCACGGTGAGCAGGGACAACAGGCTGCTGCGCACCCACCCGCGGCTGCTGAGCAAGGGCACGCCTGCCCAGGACCCCGGAAGCACCGAGACAGGCCGAGGGCCATGCATGGGGCAGTGCAGCTCACGGCCCACTCCCAGGCAGCTCATTTGCTCCTTTTACCCCAAGAGCAGGACAGGAAATTCCAAGCAGAAGAAAAGACCCTTTTCCTCTCAGGAGCCCAGCTTTTCTGAATTCCCCCAGATTCACTGTGTAGTCACATTTTCTCAGTCACCCAACTTCCACATGTTTTCATGTCTTTTCTAAAGTGCAGAATAATTGCTACCAGTTATTCAGGACTCAGTGTGCAGCAGGCCCAGGGTGAGGCTGCGGGGTCGCTGCCACCCTCGTGAGACAAGCCTCTGAAGCAAGTGTCACACACAGGAACCCAAGTTCAGAGAGGCAGCTTGCCTGACGCCACACAGCTAGGACACTGGGCGGAGGCCAGGGAACACCTGAGCCCCACGTTTGGTGACTTACCAGAGTGTTGGCACATTCAGTCCTCACATGCTTCCAGCATGGGGTGAGCAGGGCAGGTTTCCCCCATTCTACAGATGTGGACACTGAGACCCAGACAGGGCCCCACCCGGAGCTGTGGGGCCAGGCGGGGAGAAAGCCAGATAGAGCCTACATATGCCGTGTCCTGCTCCATATGTCATTGCTCCCTGCCAGGGAAGCTTTCCTTTGAAAACAATTTTAAAATTTTAAAAATTAACAGAGGTAACTGTAAGCTTTTTCGGCGGTGGCGAAAGAAACAGACACAGAGAGAGAAAGAGTGGGGCCAAACCACGTGGCTTTATTTAGTGCTCCAGGACGAGGTTCTGGGGCCCCAAGAGGGGTGGGGGCAGAAGTCGTTGCCATTTGAAGGGACTGCAGCCTTTTATAGCCTTTGGGCCAAGCTAGGGACTTTTGGCGGGAAGAGCTGGGGCAACCTTTGCTGGTCATTGAGAAACAGAAGGGGCTGGCGGTATTTGCGGAATCCAGGAGTCCAAACCTTCTGATCTGGGTGGACATCTGGGTGTGGTTTTTCTCAGCGGGGTCTGGTAGTTTGTCCTTGGCGGGTCTGTTCTCGAGAGCCGTTTATTTTTGATCTAGGGAGGGAAAGGGGGCCGCCACCAGCCTTACCATGACGTGACGTTGCGACTGGACCAAGCCTGGGGTAAAGGGAAAAACCACTGGGGGAGGGGTAAGGAGATAGGCTGGACCCCGCCAGGGGGCAGCAGGGAGGCAGTGGGCAGTGGTCTCGGAGGCTGGTCCACTCTCACCTCCACCAGGAAGAAGACCTGGGAGGGGAGAACCACAATACTGAACTCAGTGGCCCTAATCCTCACGCACCCAGAGGCAGGTGCCATGCTGGGCTTCTCTCCTAGAAAGAACCTGGGGCCCCTTAGGACTTCCCCAACCCAGGCAGCTTTTGGGGACAAGACTGATCTGCCCCAGACATCCATGACTCGTGCCTTTAATCTCCAATCACTGGCCACACAGCACAGTGACTCAGGGTTACCTTGCATGTGCATGTGTGTGTGTGTGTGTCTGTGCTCCTGCCCCGGGGCTCTGGCATGAGAGGCAGAGGCAGGAGGTCCCTCCAGCACAGCTGCCTCGGCACAGCCTGGCAGCACCCCACTCAACATCTCTCTGCCTTCTGCTAGAAAAATGATCGCCATGACTAGGCGACCTACAAGGTCTTCCTATTCCTGAAAGTAACCAATCAAATAAATCATGCAAGGAGTCTGTCTTCCTAAAATCTTATAACCATTTATCCTTTTAAGTGACCCTTTCTAACAGTTTCCACTTCTCATTCTGATCTGAAGAACAAGGGATTGGCTGCAGGTCAGCTTCAGTTGGAGATGTCAAGTAATGGAAGATGTCCACTCAGGTAGGACTGCCTTTTTTAAATGAGAAATAGGAATCCACGAGTCCATGACTTTGAGTTTAGCTGCACAAAGATTGATTAACAATGCCTGATATGATCCCTTCCAATGTGGTTGGAGAGAGTCCTTTATTTGATGGCTTCTCCAATAAAAAATTCTCCAGGTTGGAAGCCTAGAGATTTGATCTTTGATGTCTTTATCTCCTGGGAGATCACTGTTAAAAGAATCTTTAACTAATTTATAATTTTTAGTGGGGAAGCTTTATAAGGTCTTACAATAATGAAGAATCTTACCCTTAAGGAGCGCTAGTTCATAGCCTCCTTTATCCAGGTGCATGGGCCTTCCTGTTTTTATTTCAGAGATAAACCTGATGTTTTCCAAATGGGGTAGCATATAAGTTAAGCAATACCAGTGGAAGGGCCTTAGGACAGAGAAGGCTAAAAGTTTCTGTAAGCTTTGTCAATTGATTTTTATTATCCCACCTGTGTGTTCCAGCAGTCCAGAAGACTGAGGACAGTATGCATAATGGAAATGCTGAAAAATAAACCACATGTTACAAACAACTGAATTATTTGACCAATGAAATAGGTTCCTCAGTCACTGTGAAGCTCAGAATGAACTCCCCAAGAAGAAATAGGACAAGACTTAAAATGATCATGGTTAAAGATAATTTTGACAAAGAAATTTGGTCACTTTTTTCAGTTTACTCAACAGGTAAACAAAATCTTTTGCAATCTTTTGTTAATACTACATAAAAATATTGTTCTAAAGAAAAAAACAAATTCTACCCTTGTATCAATATATTATTAATATTAACCCTAATTTTAATAAAACCTTATAAACAGATCTATCTAATCTCAATCATCCATTTTATAGCCTCTCACCATTTTTTCTATTCTTATTCTTCCCCAAATATTTTCTTTTTTTTTTTTTTTTTTTTGAGACAGAGTCTCACTTTGTTGTCCAGGCTAGAGTGAGTGCCGTGGCGTCAGCCTAGCTCACAGCAACCTCAAACTCCTGGGCTTGAGTGATCCTTCTGCCTCAGCCTCCCGAGTAGCTGGGATTACAGGCATGCGCCACCATGCCCGGCTAATTTTTTATATATATATCAGTTGGCCAATTAATTTCTTTCTATTTATAGTAGAGACGGGGTCTCGCTCTTGCTCAGGCTGGTTTTGAACTCCTGACCTTGAGCAATCCGCCCGCCTCGGCCTCCCAAGAGCTAGGATTACAGGCGTGAGCCACAGCGCCCGGCCTCCCAAATCTTTTCTATTCATTCAGCTTTATCTATCATTCTTTTTTTATTCCTTCAACTTAAGACAACCTTAAAATTACCTCCAAACTACACAAAATTACCTTTTATTTAATACCACATTCTCATGTCTTACTTATAATTTTTCTTACCAAAACCAGGTCCTAATTTTTTTATACACTGTGTATACAGAATTATTTCTCTTATGTCTAATAGTTCTAATTACATATATTAACTGTAGACTTAACTCTTGGTAACCATAATTTCTAGTGGAAAACCTAAAAAGTAAGCAATTTTAATTTTCATTTATCAGGTGCAGAGCCCAAGACAGAGTGCAGAGATGTGAAGACAATGTCTGGAGGATCGGACCCCTCAGCACTACCAGGAGGCAGAGCTGAGTGAGGAAGGACGTACTGGGTGAAGCTCTGCCCACAGCTGCAACCTGGCCATTGTGGGCACACACATGTCTTCAAGCCTCACCATGGCCACCTGTCTTGTCCTCAGAATCTAAAGGCTCAAACCAAAGACATAAGTTCACATTAAGATACCTGCAAGGTGTCAGGCAAGCCCAGCATCCTGGCCTCCAGCTTTAGTTCACGAACAAATCAAGGAAGCATAAAAAATATCATATAAACAACAGTTTTATGACCTTAAAACATCTAGTAGGGGCAGTATACATTTGTCTGAGCAGTAAACTCAGACAAAAATGTCTAAAATTCTGAAGATATTTCTATTTTATTTTACCAACAATCTTAAAACTAAGCTTTATTTACCAAAGATTACTAAAGTCATATAAATTTGAAAAGCATTTGGGCTAGTTATTTAATTTATGTGTCCTTATTTATTTATAAGTCAATTTGGTACCATGTAGACCATATACAAACACAGACATGTACACATGTACACATAAAATAGAGAGAGACACAAATAAAGATTTTACAGCTTTGATTTTTAAAATTTCAGCCATGAGACAGGTAATTTAAAAGACTAATTGGATTAAACCGTGCCACCATAAGTGGAATAAGTTAAAGTTTATCTGTCCCACATGGCCAAAGCCTTTACCAAGTTTTAGAGAAAACAGGATAGCAAATTTACATCTCAAAGCACAGAAAAATTTAAGCATTTTCAAGAAGGAGTTTGGATGTGTTAATTGGAGAACAATTAAAAATGGTTGCCAAGGTAACATAAAATCATAGGAATCACCACAGGATTTTATAAGGAGACCAATTTCATTTAGATGAGTAGCTTCTAATGTAGGCTCTCTTTTTCAGCTGGGCCACCGAGCTCAGGGCTCTGCCCAGTAACGAATAGGGCCAACAAAGCATTTGTGGTTCCCAGGGCCTATAATACTTAAATATGTGAAAATCAGGCACAGCTGGAGAGTGGATCATCTACATCTTTAAAAATCAAGGATCCCACTTTTGTACTGAGTCCTGGGTCCCCCAAAAGAGGGCAATGCGGCAGGACTGTTACACACGACGTTTCCACAGCGCGCTCACCTCAAAGACGCTCCGGGCTGGCGGGGAGCCAAGACAGCCCGCCCGCCCGCGGTCCGCGCCCGCCAAGCCCCAGCGAGTGCCCATGGCCTCCAAGTGTGCGAGCCATTCTTTTCTTATCTCCTTACTTTTTTCTTTTTTTTAAGACCGCCACAGAAGTCGTGACATGCTTTTTTAATCTAAATACACAAAGAGATTAGCGTCCCCCACAGCGAAGACCACCCGCGCCGGCTGTGGGGCGCGCCAGGGCCGCTCTCCCAGGAACCGCCACAAGGGCCGACTTCCCGCCCTGCACACGGATCTCTGGTAGCCCCAAAGCCAAAGAGATCCGGAAACTCAATTCCAAGGAGAACAGACTTTGGCCTGGAGGAACTTGCCCACTCCTCCGGACGGTACGAAGAAGACAGAAGATCCCAAAAGCGGGTGTGAGGTGCGTTCCGTTGTGTTTCTCAAGGGCCCTCGGAGCAGCCCTCACGGGCTGCCAGAAGTCTCGGCTGGATCTTTTCGTTTCCTATCAAAGATGGCAAAATAAAGGAGGACCATAAGTAGAAGGTAATGGAAGAGCAAACCTTAGAAGAGCAAATTTGGGGAGACTTTAAACTTTCTAAAAAGCAAATGAAGTTTTACATTTTTCTCAGTGAAAATCATGCCAAAAAGGAAAACAGCAAACAGAGGGACCAAACATATTTAAAAAGAGGTATCAATAGACTGAAAAAAAAAACAGAAATAGAATCGAAATGAGAATAAGCAAAAGGGTCTTCTTATTTAAAAAAAAAAAAAATTAGCCTGAAACTCAGGTTTTAATTAAGCTGACTTCTTATCATAGAGCTCTTTAAAAAAAAAAACCTTCCAAATCTCTTATTATCTGATTTCAGCCATGACAGAGAGTCAGCCTCCTATTCAATTTGTCAGGTTCTAAAACCTGCTTTTTCCAATTATACATGCAAATATATTAATTTAGGAACTTCAAAAGACTCCCATCTTTGGTCATTGTGATTTGGGGTCATCTGGAATGACATGGGTCCCTTTGCCTAGGTATCTGCAAGATGGAGCTCTGTCAGTTTCATACAGAAATCCGGCTGGTATTTGCAAGGGGGTTTGCCCCTTAAAGGAAAGTTCAGTTTTGATGAGCAGTTGCCCAAAATTTTAGAAATTTTTTTTCAACAGTGACCAAGGCCTGAATAGTGTATTGGGTCAAAGCATACTGCTTTGTGAGCACTACTACCCCAAGAGTCACCAGTGAGTTGTGAGTTACTCTTTTACCCGTCTCGGAATCTCCGGGCACCTCGCGGTGGCAGAGTGCTCCAGGTGCCAGATGACCAGACTCAGGTGCACCTTCTCGCTGAGTGGAAAGTCCCTCACAGGGGCTCTTGTGGAGAGGCACTACGAGACCACTGTATGACATGGACGAGTGCTCCAATACCTCTGTAACGTCTCCAGCCACGTAGGGCTCCCAGTTGTATCTCAACCTTGGAGTGAAAGAATTCACCCTAATGCACCTTTTGTTTTGAAAATAGTAGGAATTGGACACAAATGAAAATGCAAGTCCAAATTACAAGCCATAGAAAGCAGCTGCAATTTTAAAAGCATGCTATGTAATTTTAGCCCCTGACCCCCAACAAAAAGTGAAACTATTGGTGCTAGACTGCAATACTGTCACCCAGACCTCGCCAGGACGTAGAGGCAGAGAAGGCAGAGTTCTCTCCAGAGGTGTTAACTCAAATCTCCTGTCCAGAGACAGAGATGGGAGTCTTTGCTCTTAAAAGAAAGAGAGAGTTTGATAAACAGCCCACATAAATTCTAGATCTCACACCTTTTGCACCCAGGAAACCTCTGGAGTCTAAGGAGCACTACAGGTTTGTGCTGGAACCAAGCGCCAAGTCCGAGAGGGGATGCCTGGGGGTCAGGTACATCACTCTGAAACGTTGACCTTAAGGCAAAAACAGAGGCAAAACTGATACAAGTAGAGAGTTTATTGGGGCCAAGTTTAAAGAATGCAACCCAGGAGAGGTGGATTCAAGTTTCCCTGAATAGGTGATCTGAATAGCAGCAGTTACAAGTGGGTTTTTAAGGAAAAACAAGGGACTGTTCCAAAGTTGACAGGAGCTACTGATTGCCTATACATTATTCTTTGTATCACAGATTCCAGTACCATAAAGATAATGAATGAGGATCATACTGTGCAATCTGTGGTAACATTTTGGGTAATTTGTCAGGTAGGCTGGAGACTAGAGGGAAGAAAAGAAAAGAAAAGAAAAGAAAAGAAAAGAAAAGAAAAGAAAAGAAAAGAAAAGAAAAGACCTTTAAACAACTCCAGGCATGGATCCAAGGGGGGGGGTGTGTGAATGAGCTCTCATGTCAGTGTCTCTAGGCCTGGCAAAGTTGCATACCTCACATTATTTAGACTGCTCTGAGTCACTTTTCCTTCTCAGTAACAATAAATAATAATATAATAATTATAAGAATGAACTGTAATTAAAGTTCTGTGACTATGTTCTCTCTCTTTCTGTGTCTCTCTCAAAACACCTCATTGTACTATGCTCCTGCTACCCAAAGCTCGGCACTTGTCCTCAAGGCCACATCAGAAGGACAAAAACAAGTGGCTTGAGGAGAAGGAAAGAGAAGTATATTACAAAGGAGAAAAAATGGCAGACTCTCATCTCAAAATCCAAATTTCCTATACATAAGCAGAAACACAGAGCTTTTTAAAGAGAGGGCCCTGAGTTCTAGGCTGCTGTCGGTTAACTATTCTAATCCTCCTATCTCTGCCAAAGGCAACTCCTGTAACCTCCACCCACCTCGGAGGCCAGCACCAGGCAGGCCTAGGATGGCCGAGCTATCTCCTGTAACACAAAGAACAAAAGACATTCCCCTGCCCCTCCCAGACCACCTGCCTGCCCAAGGCAGGCATGCAGGCCAAGATGCATTTCCCAAAAAGAGTGGGGAAAGTTTTACAGAGACGGAAAATATTTTTGCCATTTTTTTCCTGGCCATTCCCTGTTACACTCACCCTTCTTCTTGTGAAAATATGAGATAATAAAATGCCTACATGATGAAATTAAGTAAATAACATGGGCATTGTAACATAAATGGAAAATTTCAGAAATAAAAAATTCCTAAGTTTTAAATTATATATCATTCTGAGTAGCGCCCAGGACCTGAATCCTCCCTTTGGGTAGCATATGCACTAGCTGTATACATTGCCTGCCCATTAGTTACTTAGTAATTATCTCAGCTATCAAATCAACTGACATGCTATCACAGTGCTATGTTCAAGTAGCCCTTAGTTTGCTTAGTAATGGCCCCAAAGCACAAGAGCAGTGATGTAATATTTTCAGACTGTAGTTGATGGTGGATAACCAAAATCTTAGAGGCAATTCCATGGATAATGAGGGACTACCGTGCTGGGGACAGGGGGGAGGGCGTGGTAAAGAGAGAATGGAGGTATAAGAAAAAGAAATCCTCACCTTCTAAAAAAGAACAAGTGTACAGAAAAAGTCTAAGTTGATAAAAATATAACAGTACATGAATATTATTGAGAAAGAGAAAGATGTATAAATACTAGCAAAAAAAAGCAAGCTAAAAGGGTATAAATGTAATTGTCTTTGGGACAATTTGGGACAAGTTGGTGACAATTTAACATATTTATTGTAGAGGCTAAGGAAAAACTTTCCCTTCACACTCTAAAGTTTCACTGAAAATCGCTGACAAAAGGCAGATTAATAGGAGAAATGGCATACAAATATATTAATGGCCATGGGAGTTATACAAAATACAAGAACTCAAAGTAATGGCCAGGTGGTTGATGCTTTTAAACTATCTTGAGTTTACAGAAAGAATAGAGGCTCAGAGTATAGCCAAAACCAGGTTACGGTGGTAAATCAGGCTATGGCAGCAAGACAGGCTGTGGGAGGGAGAGCAGAGGAGGCCCGGCCAGCAAAGGTGCTCTTGTTATGTAGGTGAGACTCCTCAGGTAGCAGACTTCAGCTAGGTGGTGAATGTTTCTTTCAG